CATCTTAAAATCAATGACATCTTACATCTAGAGATACATAGTAACTTACCCAGCATCACCATCTCTATGGTCATCTTAGTCCCTGGAGAACCTGTTTCATGGTCACTCAGTTTGGAGCCTAGGAGATTACCTTGTAAAATTTTCTGAGCTTCATCAGCGGGAGTGAAGTGAGTTTAGTGCAGAATGATATAAATGATAGTACTTCTTACATCAAAATCCTTATACTTTGAACAGACACTTTATCAAGTGGCTGAGCAAACACAGCAGCTTTTGAAGTATTTGAAGAGCCATTGAATTTAAGAGTCTTCATTGCCATCCCTGTTCTTTATTCTTATTAGTACAGGTCTTCAGAATATGGCTCTTCCTTGGTTCAGATTTAAGAACTTAGATTATAAAATAATGCTTAAAACGTCTTACCTACTTTAACCTGTTGATAGAGATATCAAATATTTAGGAAGCTCTTGAATTTAAAATAAGAGGAAATAATATTTTTAAATGACATTCAAATGAATAAGGACCTATTTGATCTCCTTCAAAAAAAATCTCCATAATAATTCTATCATTCTGTTATTCTTTTTCTACTGTATCTTTCCAAATTGAGCAAGATAAAATTTTGGTTCAATATTTTGTATTCACCAATAAGATGACCAACTAAATCTAATGAACGAGAAATGGATCTGGAGCAAAGGCATTCAACTTCAGACATTCAGACTCCATAAGGACTGTTAAGAATTCCATCCTTTAATGCCAATCTTTTAAGTTTCATTAGATGAATCATTTAGATGAATATCACTTTATCTTCTTTTCTTATTTTTGTTCTCATGTCATGATCATTCTGGCCTCTTTATTCTTGCATCTCAACTCTAACATTAAACAAGAAACTTCATATGAAAACACTTTGCCCGATTCTCAGCATAAAATAGGTCCCCTCTTATAGATAGTAGGGTAATTAGATCTGTGTTTGACTTGTGTGTTTTCCAGCTTGGCCAATTAATTGGTTGTGTGTCTTTGGTCAGAGAAGTTTCCTTCTTCCACTTTGGTTTCCCCCAATTGAGCATCAGTTTCTTTACCATCTGAGTACACTCATTTGTACACGCAAAATCTCACTGGTGTATCTGTGTCTCTCCATTTTCACTGAGTTTAGCCATATTACTGTCCATTGGCCATTGTTAGACTCCTGACTGGTCTCTCTGATTTAGTATTTCCCTTGTCTCTACTATTCCACCCCTGACCTCCAGGTTAATTTTCTTGACTGGTATAACTTTCTCACAAATTTTCAACATTGTCATAATTACCAAAATAAATCTTGACTGCCTCGCCCAAACTTCAAAACTGTTTATGTACAGACTCTTGGTCCTACCTTATCTCTTGGCTCTACCTCTCATTGAATATTGCTTTCTGCTTTATTTATAGACATTCTTGTGCATCTCTAACTTCTCCTTATAGGCTGTTAGTTTCATGTAAACTATAGCCATACCTAAGTCATTCTTTTTTATCATGCGTAGTGCCTTCCTTACACATCATTTTATTTAGGAAGTAAATGGGGGAGTAAAGAGAGTTTATTCTACTTTAATATTAAAAAGTTATGTCATATGAGCTCTCTTGTTGAATCAGAATTGTCCTCCTGACTCTCAGTTTCAAAGGTGCATTTGGAGCCTGTGATGAGAAGGCACTCCGCACAGTGTAGGGAGGGTAGCTGTGAGCAAAGGGCATGTTGGGGAATCCTGCTATATTTATTCTGTCTACTCTGGGATTGGAAATTATATAAAGAAGCTAGTTTAAATAAGTGCGAATTAGCTCCCAGTTATAGTTTCAGAGTGACTTTTTTTAGTGGAAAGCAGAGGTTTAAGAAGTTTTGATGTTATGTAGGCCTATGTCGTGTGTGTGCGCGCATACTATTAAGGGGGAGTGAGGGACTACTTGAGTAAGAATAGGAAAGAAAATTTCCAGTTGCTAAAATAACCTACATAAAAGTTTTTGTTTTAAGCAATGTTCCTGAAATATGGGGTTTTCCTAATACTTGAATGATACATGGTAGCAATTTATGATTGTAAACTCTTTTACATTTATCACTTTTAATTCATGTTTGTTTTTATTTTATGTTTTTATCCTCACCTGAGGACATTTTTGCATTTATATTCAGATAGAGCAGGAGGGAGAGAGGGAGGGAGAGAGAGAGAAAAACATCATGTGAGAGAGACACATCAACTGGCTGCCACCCCCACAACCCCAAACGGTGCTGGGGACAAACTGCAACCGAGGTACATGCCCTTAGTGGGAACTGAACCTGGGACTCTCTGGTCCACGGCCGATGCTCTAACCAGAGCCAAACCGGCCAGGGCTTAATTCATGATTTATTTATTTATTTGTTTTTATTTTTTGGTGGTACGTGCCCCTAGTGAGAACCAAACCTGGGCTCAACCGCTGAGCCAAATTGGCCAGGGCTTAATTCATGTTTTAAATTGTTGGACTTTCTGGAGTTTAAGGGTTGCATTTTCTAAAGGAAATTATTGTGTTCCCTAGGTAATACAAACAGACGGCTGGGTAATTCCAAAAGTGGCCACAGCAGAATTTTTTTTCTTCAAATTATAGATCAGAGAAATAGGTCTAAACTGATGTTTTGAAACTTTCATTATGGGTTTTGTAAGCTTTTCCTTTATGGCTACAAAGTATATGTATTAAGTAAACAGACTAACCATTTTAAGTATGATGATCCCTTTCAGTATCAAAAAGAAATGGATCCTTATATAACAATTGTTCTGAAAGAACAATTTCTCACTCCTTGACTGAGAGACTAAATAGGCAAAACTTACTGTAAATTCTGTGTCTTTTTAATGAAACTATATTTTATTAATCAAAAACATGTGCATTATATGAAATACAGTATCTAATGCATACAATAACAACACGTCGTCTTCAGACACTGTGTAGCGCTCACGCAGCTTTCCAGTCCCTCGTAGTAACAGTCCCGCATTCACGAGGCCCTCAGCAGCCAACACCACACCAGTAATTGTCGTCCCACAGACCGGGGACCACTGCTTTGGATGATACACTCGCTTTCTTCAGACACTGCTACCAACAGTCTATGCGTTAACTGGTAATGGTTATGTTTTTGCTTTCTGAAGATTTGTATAAATATTCAATTAACTAGGATGAAGAACAAATGCTAAACTTGTTTTAGTAGTTTCTATCATTCCACAATGCTTCATTTATTTACTGTCTCCGATTACTTATTTTCACCATCCTTATTTACCTAAGGATGTGTTCAAATTATTTGCAGCTATATTCAATGACTGTAGAATGTGCCTGTGTCCAGTCATCTTTTAACACAATCACTCGCTGTGTGTGTATGTGTGTGTGTTCCCTTCTCCTTTAAATACACTAATGTATTGATTATCAGTATGAATTTACATCAGACAGGCTGACCTGGATTGAATTGAAATGGGGCCACCACTCCCAGCAAAAGTTGCTGTAAGTGAGTCCATCTGAGTCTCCTACCCAGACAGGATTCCCGAGGCATGAAAATGGTGGGCACTCTTTGTTACCTACATGTACTTTTAATGGGATCATTTCTGCTGTCATAAAAATATGCAAACATTTCTGAGATTAAACATTTATATTCCAGAAAAAAGATAGCACAAAATACTTAAACCTATCTGTATCCCTCCTTAGGCTAAAGAAATTTAAGATTTCTCAGTGTGGGTGGACCTGGAGAGTGTATGCTAAGTGACATAAGCCAGTCGGAGAAAGACAATACCATATGATCTCACTCACATGTGCAGTCTAATGAACAAAATAAAAACAGACTCATAGATACAGAGAATAGACTGGCAGCTGTCAGACAGGAGAGCAATGGTGAAAAATGGTGGAGGGATTAAGCAAAAAACAAAACAAAACTGACAGACACAGACAACCGTAAGGGGGTTACCAGAGGGAAAGGGGGTAGAGGAGGTAATAGAGGGTACAGGGGAGATAAATGGTGATGGAAGGAAATTTGACTGTGGGTGGTGAACACACAATACAATATACAGATGAGGTATAGAATTGTACACCTGAAATATATAATTTTATTAACCAATGTGTTCCAATAAATTCAAGAAAAAAGGAAATTTAAGATTTCTAAGTATCTACTATATTTTTTTAATATAGTGTTTTGTATCAAAATGTCATGTCTAGATATTCTGAGCATAATAAATTTTAACATAACCATAGCTTTTATTTTGTTGTAAATAGGGCAGTGCTAGTATGTCTAATAACTCAGTGAAGAATGGAAGGATAAATTGTAGCAAGATCACATGATTGCAACCTGAACCCTCTTGTGGCATGATGGATTGTAGATTTACGTGGTTTTGTGTGTTAATAGCAGTGTACTGCCTGTGACCACTGGGAGAAGTAAGCCTGCTTGGTCTGCTTGGTCAGACCAGCATGGATACCTAGTTCACTTCTGTGTTCCTCACTTGAGTGACCGGGATCTAGAAAACTGGAATGAATGAGTAAAAAGCCATATCAGATGAGGAATGACGAAAGGTTCTGAGATTATATTTAATATGAAATTATAATACATATATAGAAGATACATGGAGATAACATAACTATTATTTGAATGGTTAACTGTATTTTGAACTTATTCCTTATGAATTTTCTGGGTTGAAATAATCTCAAGCAGTCAAATTGCTCTTTTTGGTGAAGAATTTCTAACCAATTAAATAGGTTGCAGTAAGAGAGATGTAGATTCTCCACGAATAGTACATTCAGTCCCAGGCTAGACGATCAGGAGATGAGCTGTGGTAGAAGAATAACGGATCCTATCAGATTGGACTAGGTACCTATGCAGCGCCTTTCAAAAATGAGAATCTCTGAAATCTTACAAGAATGAGTATTCAAGCACAAATCATGATTTCACAGTGTTCAGAATACTCACTTTTAAATTGCTCTCTGAGAACATATTTTACAGTGTCTCATTTAACTCCAGAACCAGTCTGATTCCTTAAGAACTGTACATTCAAAATTGTGCTAGATTCAGATGCGGCAGAATATGGAGGACACCAGAGACTGGACCACAGTACCGACTTCTTTTCTGAGGCTTTTGAACATAATGAGCGTCCTCATTCTCTCTTGGTAAGTGAGGTTTTTAAGATATTTTCATTGCATTATTTTTAAAGAAATATTTTTGTCCAAAAACATGACTTTTTAACAAGTGTACAAGAAGCAAAAATGTGTGTGGGAGCAGGGAGGTGGTGAATTGGAAAGGACAACTGTGCTGAACACCCAAATGCAGTGTGTGGTCCTTGACTGGATTGGCTGTTGGAAAATGTACAGGAAAGAGCATTTGGGGAAGCTGGATTTAATCAGATTAAAATATTTCCCCCAAAATTAGAAGGCATTTTAAAGTGTTTTCTATTATGAACATTTCTATTTTTAATGCCACAATTTGTTTTCTTTCTGCTCTTGCTTTCTCTATAATACTAAGCAGATTTCTACATTATTGACTGTCTAATGAAGTTTAATTTAAAACATCTTAAAAAATCAATAAAAATATATCTTTTATTTTTCTTTCGTGTAGTCAGTTGAAGACTGAATTCATTCTAGTTATAAAATTATGTGGTTTCTTCATGTTACCGAGGAAAGCACTGAGTTATATAACTAATTTTTACTTTGAGTTATTAATGCAAATGAAAGAATACTGCTTCAAGTTATTAAGTGTATTTTTTTTTTTTAATGTGAATTTAGAAACTCTAGATTTGAAAGAATTCTACTTTATGGCCAGATAATAAGTTCAAATCCACATCTACATGGTCTGTATTTTCCCTTTTCCTGATCAGTTATATTCCTGGTTCTCTCTTGACTCTTCTGTTTTCTTTGTCTCAGACCTACATTTTTTTCTTCAACATAGGAGGTCTTGGATTATCATTTGTTTTATTTTCATGAGCCCAGGATATATCTAACAAATGTATAGCTAGCTTTATTATAACTGTTAAATTCTTTCATTTTTCAAAAGTTTAGATGTAAGTCAAGCAGGAGAATCTGTGTGGTGCCCTGGCTCCCTCATTTTTCTATTAGATTTTCACCTCTTACAGTGGTTCCAACACCTCACTTTGTAAATTACCATATTATTTACAGAATTGATGTTCCAAAGACAATGGCATGAAATAAATGAAAAAAACAAGATTAAGGTGCTGATTATTGGCTCTGAAGAAAGTGCAGTGACCACAGGAGATTTAGGTGTTATCCTAAGTGCATGTGGGTGTATGTAAGGGTGGTGGTGGTGATACTGATATATCTTTAGATGGAAATATAAATACCTATGCATTTTTGAGAAGGAGGACTGAAAGGTGCTATGAGATCCTTTCCTTGAAAAATTATTGTTGTAGTTTCTCAGAATGTTCAAATCTGCCATGTAAACTAAGATTGACAAAACTAGTTTCTGAAATAAATAAGACAATTATCTTAAAGCTCTGAAATAACCCAAGAGTTAGGGACTCCTGAGGAGTTAGGGAAGATGATTCAGCTTGTAAAGAGGTGTCACGCATAAGCAGCAGCTGGTTGTGATGAAGCTGAACTTGAACCAATCAAACCAGACAGAAGGAAGAAGATTCTGGCAGCAAAGTTGTATGTAATGAAACTCTTATTGTACTGAAAATACTAGGGAATGCCATCACAGAGAGCCTGGGATCAAGCCCCCAGTCTGCCATCTATTGGCTATGAGAAGTGATTATTTTAACCTTCTTGTGCCTCAGTTTCCCTCACTTGTATAATGAGGATTAGTAAGAGTATTCTCCCTATAGCAAAAGATTCTTAGGAGGCATGAATTCATTACCATGGCCAAACTCTCTGCAAGCTGCAAAATGCTATTATTGCACATGTATTTTAAAGTTGTTATTATCATAGCTATTCAATCAGACATTTTTAGGTATTTTCAGCTTATCAGGATAACTAGGTGCCTTGAAGACATGCAATTAAGAAGACCTCTCAACTTTGGGGAAATTAAAATCTTATGTGAAGGCTCACAACCTTTGGAGTGGGCACCACTGTCTTGGCATCCTTTCATTTTTGTAAGAGCAAAGATAATGCGTCATAATTAAAACAAGCCAACTAACTAGTGGCAGGAAGAGCCAGGAGATTACTTTTCAAGCACTAATTGCATTGATCTTGCTAGTATGAAGTGTGCCATTCTAAATTAGTAGGTGGAAGGGAGAATGCACATACGTCTCAATAGCAGGTGGAGGAATACAGCATTGCAAGCACCCGAGAAACAACAGAGAGCTTAACCGCTGCTGGTAATAGAATTCTGATCCCACTCGGTCTGAAAGGTTGAGATTAGCTGTGTCTTCCTGGCGGCAGTGGCATCTGGTTTTCAACCACTGCAGGTGCTTCAGGAATTACACATGTAAATAAATCTTTAGGCTCTAGATAAAGTGGTCACTAGATCTAAGGTAAGAATAAGGGAGCCCAAATACACCAGAAAGTCCAATAAAACAAGTTTCTTCTTGCCAGACTTATCCTTTGTAGAGCCGGAGAAAAAAAGCTACATTAAAAAACATACCTGTAATAAGAATACCTCATTATAATGGAATTCTTTACTAAGCTGAGTCTATGTGCTGCGATCCAATCAGGTTGCTTGAACAGGGCCAGCAGTGCTATAGGTCTCATTTCAGCACCAGTGAGAAAGGGGAACGAAAATATAACTTTTCCCTTCTTCGTAAAGTTCTGCTCAGCATAACTAACACACAGTATTGGCTGAAGTTTAATTTATAAACTTAGTAACCCAAGGGATCAGCTAAATAAGTCTCAAATCTGTTTTCAAAGACAGCACCAAGCAGAGCTCGGAGGAACCCTAACATAGCTATGGCTGCTCCAGGGCACCTGGGTGGGCTCCTCAGTGTGACTGTGAAGCCGGAGGAGAAGTGAACGTGTTGCTGTGGGAGGTGTTTGCCGAGTCAGAGTTCCTCACAAATGCCAAGAAGCACAGGGCGGAACTGCTCCATTCTGCTTTACTGCCCATTATCAGAAAGTCCATTTTAGCATAATCATTTCTTTATATTTTGTTTCTTGATATAGGAACATATGTACCAGTGCACTGGAGGCCTGGGGAGGGGCATGGTTCTTTTTTTCTATAGTTCATAAATTCAAATTTCATGACACAAATGGAAGAACAGAGATTATTGAACCTGAAATGAAATGAATTAGATTATTTTACAGTAACTCAAACAGCTTCAAGGGAGAAGAGTGAGTAAAGCAATAGTTTTAGCATTTATTGTTTTCCCAAGTTGCTCCTTATCATTCGGAAGTAGATCTGGCTCTGGCTGGATTGGCCCAGCAGTTAGAGCATGGGACCAAGGACTGGAGGGTCATGCGTTGATTCTGGTCAAGAGCACATACCTGGGTTGTGGGTTCGATCCCCTGCCCCAGTCTGTGTTGTGCAGGAGGCAACCAGTCAATGTGTCTCTCACATCAATGTTTCTCTCCTTCTCTCCCTCCCACTCTATCTAAAAAAATAAAAAGAAAAATATCCTCAGGTGAGGATTAACAAAAAACAAAACAAAACAAAAAAGGAAATAGATCTGTGTACAGTATTCCTCCCTTAATCACAGGCCTGATCACAGGCCATACATTTCAAGACCCCCGGGGGATGCCTGACCCCCAGGCATGCCTGAAACCACAGGTAGTACCTGACACTCTAGTTTTTCTCCACATACATACCTATGATAAAGTTTAATTTATAAATCAGGCTTAGTAAGAGAGTAACAACAACTATTTATAATAAAGTAGAACAGTTATAACAATATGCTATAATAAAAGTTATGGGCATGTGGTCTCTCTCAAAATATCTTACTATACTGTACTCACCTTTTCACTTAAAGGAAGCACCTGACAGCTGCTCTTTGGCTTGTCCTAATTGCCAGCTTCCTACTCTCGCACTCAAGGGCCGTTATCAAGTGAAATAAGGGGTTCTTGAGCACAAGCACTATGATACTGCGACAGTCGCGATAACCAAGACAGCTAAGTGACCAATGGGTGGGTAGAGTATTCAGCGTGGAGATGCTGGACAAAGGGATAATTCACCTCCGCGCCAAATGAAGAGGGACGGTGGGAGATTTTATCACCAACTCATAATGACGTGCAATTTGAAACTTAAGAATTGTTTATTTCTGGAATTTTCCATTTAATACTTTTGAACCAAGGTTGACTGCTGGTAACTGAAATTGTGGAAAGCCAAACCAGGGATAAGACATACAACTGTATTCCCATGCTAAATTTGAGGGTTCAAAGTAGACTTTTGGTTTAAATATGGAGGTTGGCATTGGTGTATCTTTTTTATTGTCCCTCAGCTGTACGTATTGAAAATACAGCTTAGCAGTTGGGAAATGTCTTTTACTTTGTCCAAAATTATGAAAATGTTTAGTTTTCTCAGACAGAAGAACTTCTTAAAGTCTACTTTTTAAATATTTCTTAGATAAGATGCTATTTATTTCTATATAGAAATAGTTGTTATATCACTTTTCTGTTAACCCTAATACAAAATAATGTATTAGAATAAGATTTCTTTTTTAGAGCATATTTTATGAACTAAAAGCATGTTCATGAAAATTAAAATTATTTTATGTCACATATATTTTTCAAAATTGTAATAATTTTTTAATTGAGTGTTTCTGATTTGGGCATTTAATGGTTTGAACAAATGTATATATGTAGACGGTTATGAATCTAATGACCTCATTGAATGATGTTTTTACCCTTCTATTGATAATTTTAACAATTTCTAAGAAAATTTTTCAATTAGCCTTTAAATTATTTTTAACTTAAAATTTTTTTTAAATGTTCTCTTTTCAAATTTGTCACCCATTTTCAAAATTGTGTAATTAATCTTTGCAACTTAATTATGATCTTAGAAGAAGATAATACTTTTCCTGGATGAATAGTATAGTAGATTATTATGAGATCAGTTATTTTTTTTTAGCCATACTAAGGTTTGGCATAGTGATTACATCATTAAGGTAGTCAAAATAACTGGTATGTTAGCATGCATTTTGATTCTCCAAATAAGTGAGTTAGATTATATATACTGTGGCATTCTCTTTTCTTCTGAAGAATGGACTATAAATATAGGTGGAAAAAAGTGAAATTCATGGCCATACATCATATCATCTCATATGTTCTTAATTTGATCCTAGCTACAAAATGTTTAGGGCTTAGTGGCTAACGAATGGGCTAGTATATTTGTTTATCAGCATGTATTATCTGTGACGTGCATACGGAATGGTTTTTCTGTACATGTACTTAAATATAAATAGTTTATATTTAAATATGCTTAAATATTTATATTTAAATCTTAAATTGTGTTTATATTTTTTCTATTGCAGTATGAATCAAAACTATTTTTAGATTTAAAATTATAAAATGAGAGTTATATAGCCATTACTTAGCACTAAATTATAGAGCCCCAAATTGTGCGTGTCGGTATTTGTCTCATCATAAGGATTAGCTCTGATTACCTTAAGTCCTTTAGTGTAATTGATAGTCATTTCATAACCATTAAAAAAGCTGATTTACATACTCAGAATTCTAATAAAGAAAACTCAAAATTTCATATAGAGCCAGAGTTAAGAAAATCACTTACTTGGGGAAGTTCTTTCATGTTTCCTATACTCCAAGGGCTCTAGACCAACATAAACACATTCTGGTAATTAACACTGCAGTGAAAAAATTGCCATAATTGCACAATATTCTCTTTAATGATATTGTACAATTATCAACTGAAGGTGTTTGAGCAAATAGTATGAAGAGGTCTGTAAGTGTGAATGGAATTGGCATATTAAGTTCCTCACATAAAATGACCAGCATCATTTAGTAGTTTTTGTTTTTTCTGTTTTTGTTTTTTTTATCCTCACCCGAGGACATTTTTCGATATTTTGTTCAGATAGAGTGGGAGGGAGAGAGAGAGAGAGAGAAACATCGACATGAAAGGGACACATCGAGTGGCTGCCACCCACACCAGGGCTGGGGACAAACTGCAACCAAGGTACATGCCCTTAGCGGGAACCGAACCCGGATCTCTCCGGACCGCAGGCTGACGCTCTAACCGCTGAGCCAAACCGGCCAGGGCCATTTAGTAGTTTTTAAACCATTAAATGCCAAAATCAGAAAATCATTGTATGTATTGCAAAACCTTAAATTTCATAGGTCAGACCCCTTTGTTTTACTTTTAAATTTGGGCCAGCTAAAATACCAAAAGATCACAGCATAAGATTGTTTCTAAATTATCAGTTTATTGTTTTTAATATTAAAGAAATCATTTATATGAGGTTATGAGTCAGATACCAAAACTGAAGGTATCCAACTAGGAGAGGTTGATGTGACCTTTCCTGAACCAGGATCTGTCCTTATGTGTCCTAGGCCTGACTTGTGTGCTTCACTACATCTTTCTCGGGACACTCGCACTTACCAGAATCTCTTATCTGCATACTGGACCATATAATATCTGCAAAATGTTTTGGGGGTTTTTTTTGGTACATGCCCCTAGTGGGAACCGGACCCAGTACTCTCTCGTCCACAGGCCGACACTCCAACCGCTGAGCCAAACCAGCCAGGGCAAAATGTTTTTTAATGTAAAGGGAACTGAAATTTCTTTTGTTCAGTTCTGATGCTGTTGAGAAATTTAGATCGGTCTTCAATGTTAGAGTGTTCATATCAAAACAATTCAGAACCATTCTGATTATAACCTGCTGTTCCACTAATTAATTATATTTACTATGATTCCTCAAACTAAACATAGAATACTGTAGTGTCCTTTGGAAGGGCAGGACACTGTCTTTTGATTCATGCCTGTTTGGGGAGGGAATTGGTCAAATCTGACTAGTGGTTTCATTTATTTCTCCTCCTCTGCTTTCTGTTGCTTTAATCTGTAGCTTGATTGTGTAAACGTGCCATTCTTTGGCTGGATCTGGCTGGATCATTGGTAGTAAAACTCCTTGGCGCATCAGTACCTCCAGCTTCCTTTTGTCACATAGAAAATACTGAATGGAAGGGATTGTACTAGTAATTAACTTGTCATGTGGTTTAAAAACTATATGACATTAAAGCAATGTGTACATTTTAGGGAAACAGATTGTACTATTGAGATACTTGGTTTCTCCTCAATTAATGACTGCAAGGCAATAATATTTATCTTTTGGAAATACTGGATTTCAAATCAGACTGTGAGGCCTTGAGCAACCCAGTGACTCTTGGCATTTATGACATTTTTCTTGCATGATGGTCGTCATTTCCTAAGTCATGTTACTTTGAATTGAATATGAGAAAAACTATTTTCTAGTTACTAAATTCATATTATAAATTTTTCCAAAGGCCATCCTTTTAAAACTGCTTTCATCAAAACTAACCAACAATATTGGTTTATTTGACTTTTAAAATAGTTTTAAGAGTTCTTTATTATAGAAACATCGTGTTCATTTACAAAGTTGAGATGCATGAGACATACAATAGTCTCATTCAATGCACATATTGAATTCACTATTATTTATTCCATTGTTATTTATTTTTTCATCCAATCATCATTGGCACCTACATTGTCTTTGGCACCTGCTAAATAAAAGAAGTATGAAGACATGTGGCCTCTTTCGTTGTAAAGCTGAGTCTCTAGTGGGGAGGATTGATTGTAAACTTGAAGAAGGAAAAAATATCACAAACTGTGTTAAGTGTTCAGAAAGAAACACAAATGAAGTGGGAAAATGATCATATCAGTGTCATCAAGAAACAGCTGTCCTTGAAGCTGGGATATTTCAAGATTCAAGAGATAAGGAAGTAGGAAGTTGCAGGATGTTGTGAGCACAGGGCACAGCATGACAGAGACCAAAGGGTGAGAGGTGTTTCAGGAATTGAGGTGGTGAGTAAGGAAGGGCAGACAGTGATGCCAGTGTGTGTGATGAGGGATGTCAGGACCCTGTGGCATGGAAAGGATGTGTACTGTATTTTTAAGTGCAGTGGCAAGCTTTTTGATTGTCTTAAATTGGTGAGGGACCTAAAATACACTTAGGGTCCCTTATATTACTTTTAACTTTTTGTTCTTAAAATGCTAGGAGAAAATAAAAAGATGATAACTGCCTTGTGTTAAGCGGTGTTTTGTATATTACTTTTATTCATCTGAATTAGAGTAACATTGTGACCTGTAGGGCAGCCTTCCCAGACCACCTCAGGGTGCCTAACCAGCAGTGAGTGCCATTTATATCCCCGGTGTCTGGGAGTATTGGTTTTTGTAAGGCGTATGAAGCCCTCTAGTGGCGATTGCTTTAAATGAGTTTCACCGTGTTGCCAGAATTTTTGGAAAAGTGGAATTGAGTCTCCTCAAGCAGGTAGCATTGTAAAGATAACTGTAATTTTAAGCAAATGTGAGAGGGTATCATGTCCCTTTACTTAATGACATCACATTCAGTCTTTTTTTCAATTGCACTGACATCCTTCTGTTGACCTAGGTGTACATTCCAAGCCGAGTGGCCCTCATCCTTCAGAATGTGGATCTGCCCAACTGAAGTGACTGGATTTCAGCTCCACCAGGGAAAGATGTGTGTTTTGTTTTTCTATTCTCATTGCAACATAGCTCATAATGTTAAGTTTTCCAAAATACAGTGTCCAGCCAAGACGTCAGATGTCTGAAGTTCAATACTGGCTTCTGCAAATGAATGTCAAACTTTTCTTTAAGAAGTAGATAAGAATGTTTTTGAAATTTCAGGGATCTTAGACTATATTTTCCATATATCTAAGCAGCTAGAATTATCAAATGAAGTATTATATGTCCTTAAACATTGTTTTCCTGGCTAGTTATTTGATGCTTTTAAATTCAAATTTGAATCATGTGTCGTGTATGATTATTCCTGTTTAATGTCTCCATTAATTTTTTAACATGGATATTAGGAGGTTTTATTTGTTCTACTATCTCATTGTCTAACTTAAGAGGTACCAAGATTGTTGCTATGTTTTTTCAAAGTATATTTACAAATAATATAATAAATATGTAGCAATAATATGAATTATGTAGGTAACATAAAAGTCATTATCTATGAATGCATCCACGTTTTATTCTTCATAAGTCCTTTTGATTTTGCGATCTCTTGTTCACTTAGTAACCTGGTAATGCTGATATCTCAGTCTTCCAAAGGCCTGTAACAATTCAGAAAATGTCTTTTACTTTGAATAAATAAAAAGTAATTGCAAAATTGTTGTTGCTCATGTTTATTTCATTGTACTATTGTGGGAATTGATTTAGAATGAATATTAAAATGCATATCTCAGCTCTGATACCTTCCACACACATATACACATGTGCACGGTAGACTAGGCATGGGGGTTAGTAATATCTTTTCTTTAGGTACTATTTTGTAACTTGAAATAATATTAACCAACCTGAGTTGGTATATCTAAGCTACTCTCCAACCATAAACCTGAGTACTTTTAAACGCTTAATAACCATCTCAACTCAGTGGGATATTCAGTCATGAAACCCCTCAGGTTATGAAATAGTAGCCCACAGGTTTAAAATCACTGATGAGTAAATTCATTCAAAAGTAAGAAATTAAAATGTACTTATAAGACCTAAAGTGTCATTTTTTTAAAGATCCAATTTTTTCCTTTCCATTAATACTGACTGCTTCTTTTTTTGTTGTTGTTTTTAGTCTGATTCTTCGTGGTTCATAAGGAGTATTTAGAAGTCTTTCTTTTAACAAACAGTTCAGTAATAGAAGAGATTAGCAAAGGAGATTTTCATAGCTAAAGCTATATGCTAACCACCTTCCTTATAACTTTTTTTGACAAAGCCTCGAATCTGGGTCTGAAACGTGTTACGGATTTGCTTTAACTTCAAAGTAGAGTACTAGTTTGATTTCCTGGAAGAACCAGCCGTGCTGGCTGATGCTGTTCGTGCTGGGAAACATGACTGAGAGCCTCCAGTGATGCCCTCCCCATCACGCGGCCTTATTACTGCCTTAGCGCTGGCGCTGGGCACTGCCCCTGTTACTGATACCACAGCGTGCAGCCATGACATCTCCTGTTCTAGTTTCTCGTTTGTTATATGTTAAGAGAGATGCTAATTTTCCATTATAGCTCTTGAAAAGTGGCAAGAGATTACTTCATACTTAGATCCTGTTTTCTTCCATGGCAAAGTCAAAAGGACCAGAGTATGTGCTATATTTCCATGACATTGATTGACCTTCCCAATACATACTTTAGATTTTATAGCCTGAAGTTAAAAGTTAATGTCATGTAAGTGAGTTGCCTTTGTCAAGTGCCCCCCCCCCAAAAAAAATATATGTGGCTAGGTAGGAAATTATAGAAGCACATGCAGCCTCGCCAGTGTGGTTCAGTGGTTGAGTGTCGACCCATGCGCCAAGAGGTCGCTGGTTCGATTCCGGATCAGGGCACATGCCCAGGTTGTGGGCCCGATCCCCAGTGGGGGCATGAAGGAGGCAGCCGATTGATGCTCTCTCTTATCTCAGTTTCTATCTCTCCTCTCTCTCTAAAATCAATAAAGAAAAAAATATTTTAAAAAAATTTAAATACATGCAAACAAAATATTAAGAATCCAAAATGGAATGTAATTGGGTTTATTTTGTTTCCTAGTTATCACAGCAAACAGCCGTTACAGAACATTCCACTATTATAGTATATTTTACTTGAGGTCTTCCTTGTATCTGTAACATTCTAATCATCATGTAATCTAGTGAGAAGTTTTTTTTTGTTTTTTCTTTTCTTTTTTTTATTCCTCACCCAAGGATACTTATCTATTTATTATCAGGTAGAATGGAAAGAAGGGAGGGAGAGGGAGACAGAGAGAAACATCGATGTGATGGAGCCACATCAGCTGGTTGCCTCCCGCACGACCCAACCAGGGCTGGGACGAACCGCAACCGAAGTACGTGCCCTTGACTGGAATAGAAGCTGTGACTCATTGCTCCATGGGCCAATGCTCCAACCACTGAGCAACCAGCCAGGGCAAGAAAAGTTTTTTTTCTTTTTGTTGGTTAAACATTTTCAATCATCGCAACAGAGAGATTTAGTATTAGTGAATGCTAGTAAATTATCTATTATCCAAAATAGAATTTACCCCTAAAGCTAATGATGGTGTTTTATTTAATATTAGCTTACTCAGAAAATACCATAATTTTTAATAATCAAAAAATAAAATTGTGCACATTTTTTTCTAGAATATTTCCCACTTTATAACACTTGAATTCTGAGAGTCATCTCCTTTCATATTTTCTTTTCTGCACATTTGATATTTCTCACCTTGCCTTGTTCTTCACTGATGTGTTCATCTCTCACATCAAATGAGGGAGTTAGCCACCACGTTTCTCAAGCTCAAAAATCAACCAGTGACAGTAAATGGATGTTTCTCGTGGCAACTGTGAAAGAATTCAGGTGTTTTCTTCTCGGTCTGGAACCCTGCCTTAGCAGTACCAATTGGACATTTGTCACCATCAGGGTGATAGCCATTGCTGTACCAAAGGTGGTCCAAATAAGAAACCTACTCTTCAAATAATGCAGAGGAATAAGCAGACAGACCTAGGGCAAGTGATAAAGAGTAATGTGTTTTGCTCTGATCATACCTTCAGGGCAAATATCTGTTCACTGTCTCTGATCCTGCAGCCATTGAATTTGGTGATTAAAGCAATGTAAAATCAGTTTTTTACATTCAGAATAAACCAGAGCAGATATAGCTGATAGGAAAAAAAAACAAACAAAAAAACCAGTGAAGTCGCTTTCCGGATGGACTTGCATGTCTCAGGCTCTGTCTTTTTGCCTATTTTGCATCATGTCCTAACCTGGGGTTCTTTAGAATCATGGGTTTCATTAATCTATATATTCCTTATAGGGAGATAAGCACTGAGCTATGAACTCTGCTAGGTAGAATATTTTGATGAAAGAAAATAGAAATCTAAGGCATAGCAATGTCATGTCCTTTATTCAGTAGAATTCATTTATCATTCACAATGCATTAGAATTGAAATGTACATAAATTTCCCCACTAAAGCCAGCCTTCAGGGGGAAGGAATCAAATGAACTCCCTACTAATTTTTCTGCTCTATTATCTTATTAATGGTGATTTGTAGAGAATTGCAGAGAAACATTCATACTTAGGGCAGAATTTCTTAATTTGTGGTGTGAGAAATTAACATACAGTAGCTGTAAGTGTTTTTGTCTCTATAATTTAAAACATATCTAGATTTTAACTCTTGCAAAAAGTATGCAGAGTATGCAGAGAATGTAATGATTATTTACATGAAAAAAATATATTTTGTGATAGACATGCTTATTCTGAAGGGCATACCACTCAGAAGTTTGCTTATGATTTAAAATTTTTCTTGTCATTTCTGTGGACTGCAAAGAGGTCATTTTGCCCTTCTATGTGCTGTACTGACCAGTCCCCTGGAAGCTGCACTGTTGCAATACAACAGATAATACAATGGTCAGAAAACCTAGTTATCGTATTTTACTTCCACTGCCTCATTTGAGAAAGCACTCAGTTGACTTTTAGTTCTTACCCAGGGTTATAAGACAGTGATAGTGAAAGGAAAAAGTAATTGTAATAGGTTTGATAAATGCTAGTATTTGATCATCAGTTACATGGATGGTGAGTCACTGTTTGGAGACATCTTCCATATTTGTTGTCAGGAACATACTGTCTCACCACCTGTCTGTCCTTCATGGCTCTGCACTAAGGTGTCTGCCCCTCCCAGGTAGCGAGGTGAGGGCTGCTTTCCAGGGAAGGGGATTTTGCATTTCCTCCAGCCCTGCAGATGACCAGACAGCAATCCTCCTTTGTTCATGTTGGCTTTTTCTCTGAGTTCACTAGCATGTCACAGTGAATTCCATTCCCCTGCAATTGGTGTGTTAGCTACTCTCAGACTCTGTGCTTCTATCACCCAGGCTTGTGGATGGACCTTAATAACCTCTTAGTGGTAACCAATAGGGCAATATAAGCTGTATATGCGGTGAAATAGCCACAGATGCCCTTCGGTGAGGCACATCCTCCAGGTGTTGAGGGTCTCAGATTCTTACCCTTCCCCCTCTGTTCACAGCTCAGTGGAAGGAATAAATGGCAGAGGAAACACGAATGCAAAGCACAGTACAGAGGTTAGAAATAGTTTGGCCCATGGTTTTTTGGATTGAACGTCTATAATCAGAAAAACACATTTTCATTAAATAATGTTTGCATAACTAAATATTAATTTCTTGAAGAAGGTAGAGATCAGCCATCGACCTGCAATTTTCACAGTTGCCTAGTGCATTTGTCCTCTATATCCATAGGTTCCACGAGCACAGACACAGAGGACCCACTAAGGGACTTGGGCATCCGTGGATTTTGCTATCCACAGGGTATTCTGGAACCAATCCCTTGCTGATACCGTACTTACAATAAGACATCTATCACACTAAATTACCTTGCCACATGAAGATATAAATTAAATGAGATGCGTCTACATTGTTGGTGCCAACTTATCCAAGGTAATAAGGGAAACAGAAATCTCTGGCTGTAAGTCCATTCAACAGATAGATATATACAGCATATGGGCAGTATGTGATACACACAGACATACATACATAATTTGTAGGTAAATGAAAACCCACAAAGTTCGCTGATTCCAATATTTATCTTGAATTAATGAATCGGCTGATTCATTAACATGATACCTATATTCAATTTTAGATCTTTTTCTGACTGTATTTTGAGCACCAAATCGAGACAAGCAATTTTACTTGGATTTAAATACATTTTCCAAAGTGGGGAATGAAATGTAGTGTATGTTGCAATTCCTTTAGAGCATTTCTCACCTCAAACTATTTGGCTGTTAGTGTTTTATTTTTTTCTCTAGAAAGAAGAGGAAGGAAATGAAATACCCTTATTACTTCTTTATTTATGTTCACCAGGGATTATTTTTAACTGAGTTTGTAGTGCCACTTTCTATTCACTCCAGTAATATAAATGATGAAAAACACTGCATGTAATTTCATTTCACAAATGCTTCTAGCCATGTTATCAACTATTGATTAAAACCAATCATGATATA